ACAATTTTGGCCAAAATTAGAAGAAGAGTTGATTATCAAAAAAGTAAGAATTTTTAGAGCAAAAGAAAAACTTATAGGTATTTTTAAAGGCCGATTAGGACTTTAGAGAGCTCAATTTTTATGCTAAAAAGATGATTTAGGGCTTGTTATGACCAGAAGAGGTTGGCCAACAACTTTACTTAAGAGCACAAAAGAGGTTTAGAAGCTAGTTTTAAAGATATTTTAGAATTTTGGAGCACTTAGTTTTTTGAGTATAACTCTGCTTAGAAGAAAGCGAGAGTTGTAAAACTAGACTACTAGGATGTAAAAATATGTGTAGAGCAAGTTTACTTAAGGGCACTTGCTTGATTTACTTAATAAAATTTTGAGAAAATTTGATTTTGTTGAAAAATTTTTTTGGAAAAATTTGGTACAAAAGATCTACAGATTAAGTGCAAATTAGTTAAAATCTTATAAAATTTACTTTTTTTATTACATATATACTAAATTTATATAAGGTTTTAGAAGTAATTTTCTCAGCAACTACTAATCAGATTTGAATGAAATTTGTATTATTAATAGATTCTATATCTGCCTACAATATATTAAAATTTTATCAAATTTTATTTGATATTTCTTTAGCAATTACTTAAAAATTATATCTAATTTTTTTAAAAAAACTATATATAGTTTTATATATGATTTTTTACTAATTACTACAAAACTATTAATCAAATTTAGCTAAAATTTTAATATGTTGTAGCCTTAATTTATATATATTAACAGTAAAAATTTCATTTAATTTGACTTAGTAGTTGCTGAGAAAATTGCTTCTAGAACTATATATAAATTTCTAATTTTTGAATATATACATTAAATTTATATTAAAATTTAATTGTAATTTTTTTAACAACTATTAACTCAAATTAGATAAAATTTTAACTATATATAGTTATAATATATAACTATAATATATTAAAGTTTTAGCTAATTTGAATTAGTAGTTTTTAGGAAACTACTTAAAAACTATTAATAATTTTTTTAAATTTATAAAATTTAGTTTTTAAGCAATTTCTCAAAAAATACAAATCTAATTAAGCTGATATTTTAGTATATTTTAGCCCTGTATTAAATACATTTGCTATAAAAATTTGATCTAATTTGAATTAGTAGTTGTTAAGAAAATCACTTCTAAAGTCTGCAATTTTTCATATATTTTTGAAACAATTATTATAAAACATACCTATAGTGTTTTGCACCTATTATATGTTTTTATTATATTTAATAAATTTTCTAAGTTTTATAAGATTTATTATAGAAATTTTTGACTTAAATTTTTTTATCTTAGAATTAGTTTTTAAATTAATATTAAGGTTTTAGAAAGGTTTTCAAGGATGTAAAACATTTTTACTTAGAACACCTTATACTAATTAATTAGTCAGTTTTTAAGATAATGTGTGCATAGATATAAAACACTATAGATATGTTTTAGTAAAATTCTTTTTGAAATTTTAATTTTATATATTTTCATTAAAAATTCAAAAGTTCTGCATCTTTTCTTAAAAATCAAAAAATATAAAATAATAATATATTTTTCTAATGTAGTTTTTTGTATAGAATTAGGTTACTTAGAGTATAAAGATAGAATTCATTAGTAAAATTTTGAAAATCTTGAGATTTTCAATAATTTTATTAAAAAAATTATTAAAAATTTCAAGATTTTTAAAATTTTACTAATTAATTCTATCTTTATATACTAAGTAATTTTGTTCTATATATATTATTATATTATATAAGTATATTAAACTTTATATTTGTTAAGTTTTAAGATAAAGATAGAATTAAAGTTAGAATTAGAAATTTTCAAATTAAGATTAGAGAATTAGGAGTTAAAGTTAGAGTTAGGGTTAGAGTTAAGGTTAGAATTAGAGTTAGAGTTAGGGTTAGGATTAGGGTATAATAAGTTTTAGTAAAAATACTGAAGCGGAGGCAACAGCTGTAGCGAAAGTATATACTTAATTTTTATAATTTTAAAAACTAAAAAAATTATTATAAAAATTTAATAACTAATATTTTTTTAATAAAAATCTTAATCTAAATTTATTAACTAATTTTTTTTAATTTAAATCTTAATCTAAATTTATTAACTAAAAAAAATTATATAATAATTAATATTTTATTAAAATTTTATTTTTATTAATTTAATAACTAAAAAAAAAATAAACAAACTAGCTAATAACTAACTCTAATCCTAATTCTAACTCTAACCCTAACTCTAACTCTAAAAAAAACTAATATTTTATTTAGACTTTGATTTAAAAAAATTTAAGAACTAAAAAAAATAAAAAAAACTAGCTCCCGGAGCAACGCCCGGGTCTATAAGCTAGTAATTAAATAAATCTCCGAAATTTCCAACTACCATCATCGCAAAAATCACAGTGTCACACTTTATTGCAAAGCGCCATAATAAATTCAATGTCAATCTTCATCTTTTCGATTTAAATGATATACAGTATATATGATTTTAGATAATTTAATTTAGATTGTAATATGAAACTTATTATTAATCGGGCAATAATATTACAGTATGGTTTTTTTTAACCAATGCGGATCGTTGCGCACTAAATTTATTGACCAAAAGTGTGACTTTACGAAAAGCTATAAATGAGCAATGATTTCAACTTTCTCTAACTAGAAAGAAACTTCCTAAAAACCTAAAAGTTAAACAAAAATATTTCAATAAACCTTAATCACATTCAATCATGAAGCAAAATTTTATTTTGGTATTCATTTTATTGGCTACGCTTTCAATAGTCAATGCTCAACTTCATAAAAGAGCCACTAAATTTGGACCATGCCGTTTAAGTCCGCCTGTATCCCACTTCACTACTATAACTCTTTCACCTGATCCTATTACTCTTGGGAAAAATGTCAGTGTTACTCTTACTGAAAAACTAGACAAGGATATACCCGCAAGTTCAAAAGATGTATTGCAGGTTCTATTCCTTGATTCATATAATATACCAAGTGACTTATTTTCTATAGATTTATGTACTGCTACGGGAATTAAATGTCCAATTCCGCAAGGAACCGAAATTAGTACGACAGTGTCAGTTCTAGTACCAGGCGCAGAAGACCTACCTAAAGGATCCACAATTGAGGTTTCTGTTCGTGAAAAAGGTGCTGAAGTCGACTTTATCATTTGCTCACTTTCTGACCCTATTTCTTAAATCGGTTTAATATATACCTATTATATATTTACTAGAATTTTGTTAGGTTGTGATATCGCAAGTTAATATTTAAAAAAAATAAAAATTCAGATTAGTTAAGGTTAGAGTTCGAGTTAGTATTAGGGTTAGGGTTAGAGAGCACATATATATGCAAAATTAAGAGCTGAAAACTTTTAATTAGAAGCCTAAGACTAGTTTACATAATAAAATTAAGATATTTAAAATTTTTAATTTTTTTCTTAATTTTTGTTCGTTTTTGTTACACGAGATCCCGTGATCTAATTGGTCGGTCATATTAACCTGCGATATTTAACAACATCCTATCTTGTAAGGTAATTTTTCAATTACTTTACAGGGTAAAGTATGCCAGTCAACGTGGTTATGATCTATTTGGGAACCGCGAGGCAGATGTATTCGTTAACAGAATATTCAAATTTGTGTTTATTCTTCTTTAGCATTTGGTTTTTCATTTGATCCCTTGCGTATCCGTGAAAAAGTGTGCCATATTAGGTTTAGCAAAAAGAATCCGTTTTTTTTTATTTTTTTGCTAAACTAAATATAGAGGTCGGAACCGGTTCGTTAACTCGATTTTACTGCTGTTTTCATTCTAACTGGGACAGCTGTAAAAATTTAACCGAATAAATATTTGTCGATTCGATAAGTTAGTGATTTCGGTAATAATCTATATATTATAGAGTAGTTAAAGGTTTTTTAGTCAATAATTTCATCTGATTCATGTTTTCTTTCGATCTGTATTTTGTAATAATTATTATATATAAACATTTTTAAATAAAATAAATCTTTATTTTGATTTCGTTGATCATAATTCTCAATGCAGCTTCGAAATATTAATAAAATCATGATTGGAATTATAACTTGTGTTATATTTTTTTTAATCCAATCAACGTATTCTTGATCATATCGAACTTTGTTTTTTTTTAGCGTCTACTCTTGTAATATATTTATTAGAGGATTTCAAAATTAACTTAGCCCCAAAATAAGTAGGGGTTTAAAAAATTGTATTTGTATTCTAAAATTTTTGAAATCATAAAAATGAAATAGCAGTGTTTAAATTATGAAATATGTAAACTTTTTTAGTAACGTAGTAAAAAAAAAAAATACAGTAATAAGAATTGTAAAAGCGTTGTTTAATAAATTGCTTACACTTATTATAAAATAGAATTTATAGATTGTTCAATTTCGAAACAAATACATCTCTGAAATAGGTTTCTGATTTTTATTTTGAAACCCCAATTATGAAAGCTTATCTTATATTCGAAACCTTTTTGAACAATCTTTTCGTACAGATTAAACACACCAAATATACTGAATATGCATTCAAGCAAAAACTTAATGTTGAATGTGTTGACATTGTAGAAATGTTCAAAATACTATTACTATCTATTGTGAAACATGAAAGTTACTCCGGAGACACGTGAGGGTCGGAGGCTAATGTTCTGCAGTATCTGCATACGGGTATGCAGATCGGATTTGGTAGATTTCCCCGACAGCTATTTGACCGACACCAGTATTGCCGACGTCAGTATACCGACAAGCCATTACTTTGACAACTCATTTTTCCGACATTTTATTTTCCCGACAATCTATTTTCCCGAATTCACTTTTCCGACAGTT